GCTTCTGCATGAACCTAAATAAACACATTCTTTATCTAGAGGGGTATGTTCACCATATGTTGTGGGCCCAGTTATTGGTTTCAGGGAGGAACCAAGTGTTGAAATTGGCTGTGGACATGGTGGTCTTCACAGCCTTTGAGGCAGAGTGTTTGCTCAGGGAGAGGAGCTGGCTGCAGGGAGGAGGCATTTGTCTCTGCTGCTGAATTTTAATGAATGGAATCTATCAACAGAGTCAGGACACTGCAAGGCCTAATAGGTTCCAGGACCCTCCTGGACTGAGATGAAACTGAAGATTGGAGTCTGACACAGAACTTGTCACATTCAGTATTAACACAACCCTACCGGGTTTCTGTTCTCGACTAAAAGGCTCAGAGGTTACTCCAGGTAAATTGAGATAATTGGGCTGCACAAAGGTCACTCCAGATAAATTGAGATAACTGGGCTGCACAAAATAACCACACAAGAGACACGAATACCTTTTTCTTTAGGGTCACTCTGATGGCTCCTCTGACCTTAAGGGTCTGCAGGGAGAGAGAGAGAGAGAGAGAGAGAGAGAGAGAGAGAGAGAGAGAGAACGCACATGCTGACCCCTTTTACTGAGGAGAAGCTATTCAAATGAGGCAAGGGGTATGGTTTCAGGGGGCTGAGTCTATCTTTATGATGTCCGCTGTCAGCAGGTTGAATGACTTCTATGTAGGCCACACCCAAGGGCACAGTAAGAAAAGGGGACACACACAAGGCACTTCCATGGAACATTCTATCCTAAACAGGGCAAGGGGGAATATTACAAAGGAACAGGTGAACATAGCTCCACCCATGAGGCTGTAGGAAGACATGCYCAGGCAAAAAACAGTCACTTGAACCCTAGAAGAGCGGGGCAGTCTAGCAGCATGGGTGCCTGACACCACATCACTCAGCAGGGGAGTTAACTCAGTCATATGCAAGGTTGGTCTCCCACTAAACCGGAAGCCACAGCTACCAATTCTCCTAAAACGAAGGATACTCAGCCTGCTCTGTCCTGCCCTGTTGCCAGATGCTACTGGGAAATAAAGGACACCTTCTTTAGCACACTGTATAAATAATGTAGAATAAGTGGCTACCATAGTTAGCAAACAAATGTCACATGTTATAAATTGTAAATACACACATTCTATTTGCATTTTTCCCTTAAAATGAAAGACAAAACCTGCAGAAAGCAGATCTCCTTCAGCCCCAGGATAAAATAGCCCAGAATACACCACAGAGCAGGCTCTACTTCTGGTCTGATCTAGTTGTGCACGGGTGGGAACACAGGTAGCAGTGGTAACTCATTCAATCTTATTCYTCCTAGGGTGTCTCTGAGTCCACTTGATTTATTTCACTGGCAGAAAGCATGTTTTTTCATCTGTCTGTGTCACTGAAAAGGGAGAGAACAAATGGATTCTATTCCTAGTGAATTATTAAAGCAAGTTGTCAGCAACTATAAATCCTGATAATAGGTGACAGCCTCAGAAGCAGAGGGATACAACCCAGTCTGTAGAACTCGGTGGAAAAAAAGTAAGAAAATCAGTTCAATGAAAATCTGAAGAAATTCCTATTTAGATTTTGAATGTAGATTTTGATTTTCACAGTCAACTCTAATCAATAAATTAGTGAACAATAAATCATTTTTTTAAAGAGAGAGAGGAGACAGAGAGAGAGAGAGAATTTTTTTAATATTTATTTTTCAGTTTTYGGCAGACACAACATCTTTATTTCTTATTTTTATGTGATGCTGAGGATAGAACCCAGAGCCCCGCACATGCCAGGCGAGCGAATTACCGCTTGAGCCACATCCCCAGCCCCCAATAAATCCTTTTGAAAAATGGTTGGATGAAGTTTTACACCATTCCCTTTGCTCTTGTTCATTAACATCTTATGTGGTTGAGCTTAGAATCATCTAAAGTGATTTAAGTGATGTTGCAGAGGAAAATTTTGTGGTTATTTAATGCAGATATGGCCTACACCTTCTGCAAAAGGTGTAAAGAAACAAACAATAAAAAAATATACAAAATAAAACAAACTTGCTACTTTAACTACTAGATAAAACCGAAATAAGGATACTGAATATTGGACTATTAGCATGAGTACATGTGTTCACATTCCTGTTGCCAGTTGTTATTCATTATCTATTCATTTGGCAAGCCCTTGCTGGGGTTTCAAAGTAACTTCCTCTCTATCCTTTTTGAAGCAAATACTTCTGGAATAGTCCTTTGAATTTTCTAGCCAGCAACAGGATAGGAAAAAAAAAAATCTCTTTATGATGGTGTCAACCTAAATTTTTCTTTTCTGTCAGTTTAGGAGTTTACTTTCATTCATCCTAAATTAGTAAATGCCAGGGAGTAGCTAAATATTAATAAAGCATTTTGACTTAAGAAACATCATGAACCCCACAGACTCCCTAATTCTGAATGAACATGAGGGCCAATGTAGAGACCCAATGAGGGCCAATGCAGACCATTGGTGTGGTGGTGTTTGGCCTGAGAGGGAAGGGGATCTTCCCCTCTCAGAACCTCAGAGTCCCTGCATTTTTGTGATCCTAAGAGTGAATGCCTGCTTACATGTTGCACACTTAGGCTCCTTATTTGCCCACTTTAGTCCTGGCCTTGCCTCAATGCTGCTACTTTGGTGAGCTATATGACTCTAGAGACATATAGGACATGCCCCTTTCTTCTCTCCTAGTGTAAGACTAGTGAGAATTTAAATAGCTTCCCTTGACTCCAGCCCCAAAGCCCAGCCATAAGTATACTTTTCAAAG